TCAAGCGATTCTCCTGCCTCAGCCTCCCGAGTAGCTGGGACTACAGGCGTTTGCCACCACACCTGGCTAATTTTTGTATTTTCAGTAGAGATGAGGTTTCATATGTTGGCTAGGCTGACCTTGAACTCCTGCCCTCAGGTGATCCACTCACCTTGACCTTCCAAGGTGCTGGGATTAGAGGCATCAGCCACTGAGGCCGGCCTCCATGTCTATTTTTAAAATACAAATAAAATTTAAAAAAAAAAAAAAAAAACCGGCAAAGAACCTGAATAGATATTTATCAAAAGAAGACATACAAATGGCCAACCAGTATATCAAAAATGTAATCTCAGCACTTTGGGAGGCCAAGGTAGGTGGATCACAAGGTCAAGAGATCGAGACCATCCTGGCCAACATGGTGAAACCCTGTCTCTACTAAAACTACAAAAATTAGCTGGGCGTGGTGGTACACGCCTGTAGTCCCAGCTACTTGGGAAGCTGAGGCAGGAGAATCACTTGAACCTGGGAGGCAGCGGTTACAGCGAGCTGAGATCATGCCACTGCACTCCAGCCTGGCAACAGAGAATCCATCTCAAAAAAAAAAAAAAAAAAAGTTGAACATCATTAATCATTAGGAATATGCAAATTAAAACCACAATGAGATAATACCTCATACCTGTTAGAATGGCTATTACCAAAAACACAAAAGAAAAAATTAGTCAGGTATAGTGGCACATGCCTGTGGTCCCAGCTACTTGGGGGGCTTTAGTGGGAGGATCTGGAGGTTGAGGCTGCAGTGAGCCATGATCTCACCATTGTACTCCAGTCTGGGGAAACAGAGCGAGACTCTGTCTCAAACAACAGATAAAAGATATCAAGTGTTGGCAGAGATGTGGAGACAGTGGACCCTGGCACAGGTTGGTGGGAATGTAAATTAGTACAGCCATTATGGAAAACAGTACGGAAGTTCTTAAAAAAATTAAAAATACAACAATCATATGAACCAGCAATCCCAGTACTGGGTATATATCTGTTAGAAACAAATTTTTGGTGCCTCAAAGAAATAGCACTCAAACATAAATTTAATTTTCTCAGCAAGGCAATTTTTACTTCTATAGAAGGGTGTGACTTGCAAATGGAGTAATGGCGAGAGCACACCTGGACAAGGGAGGGGAAGGAGTTCTTATCCCTGATGCAGGTAGCCCCTACTGTTGTGTCGTTCCCCTATTGGCTAGGGTTGGACCACACAGTCTAAGCTAATTCCGATTGGCTATTTTAAAGAGAGTAGGGGTATGAGCCAGAGTGGTGGGGTGAGTATTTTGGTGGGAAGGACAGTTAGGAACAGGTAACTAAAGGTGACTTAGGTCAGAGCAGGTGACAGAGGTGACTCAGGTCAAAGCAGGTGATCAGGATGAGTCAGGATGGAGAAGGTGACCAGGGGAACAGATGTGAACTACCAATTAAAACTGATGGAAAAGGTTGTTTCTGAAACTACGAGGAAGTTAACTTTAAAATGGAGGACAAAGAACTGAACATACTGACATACTGATTCTTTGAAGAGAAATCTAGAACTCACTGTATCTAAAATATCTAAAGAAAACAAAGTCAGGATGTCAAAGAGATATCTGCACCCCCATGTTTCACTGCAGCACTGTTCACAATAGCCAAGATATGGAATCAACTTAAGTGTCCATCAACAAATGAATAAAGAAAATGTGGTGTATATATATACAATGGAATACTATTCAGCTTCAAAAAGAGGAAATCCTGTCATTTGTGACAACATGGGTGAACCTGGAGGACATTATGCCAGGCACAGAAAGACAAATAATACATGATCTCACTTATATGAAGAATCTAAAATTGCTGAATTCATAGCAACAGACAGTAAAATGGTAGATACCAGAGGCTGGGAAGGGTGGGGGTAAAAGGACTGTAGAGATGTTGATCAAAAGACAGAAAAATTTAGTTTAAAAAGAGGCATAAGTTCAAGAGAACTATTGTAAATCATGGTGACTGTAGTTAATATATTATGGCCAGGATGGTGGCTCACGCCGGTAATCCCAGAACTTTGGGAGGCTGAGATGGGCAGATTGTTTGAGCCCAGGAGTTTGAGACCAGCCTGGGTAACATGGTAAGACCCAATCCCCACAAAAAAACAAAAACAAATATTAGCTGGGCTTGGTGACATGCAACTGTGGTCCCTGCTACTTGGGAGGCTGAGGTGGGAGGATCACCTGAGCCCAGAAGGTAGAGGCTACAATGAGCCATGATCATGCTACTGTACTCCAGTCTGGCCAACAGAGCAAGGCCTGTTTCAATAACAAGAAAAAAAAATTATATACACTTGAAAGCTGCTGAAAGAGTGGATTGTAAGTGTTCTCTCTAGAAAAAAATGATAAATATGTGAGGTAACGCATATGTTAGCCTGATTTAGCCATTCAATAAGGTATACATATATCAAAACATCATGTTGTACACCATGAATATATACACATTCGGAGATTAGGTCTTTGAAGGGGTGATTAAATTAAAATGAGGCTGTTAAAGTGGGGCCCTAATCCAATATGATTGGTATTCTTATAGGAAGAGGAAGAGACAGTAGGGGCCGAGCCACAAAGGGATGACTATGTGAGGACAAAGAGGCAGGAAGGTGGCCATCTGCAAGGACAGAGGCCTCAGAGGAAACCCACTCTCCCAGCACCGGGATTTTAGACTTCTAACTCTAAAACAGTTCCAGTTTCTCAGAACCGTGAGAAAATAAATGTGTGGCATTTAAGCCACCCAGACTGTGGAATTTTGTTATGGTAGCTTTAGCAAACTAAGACAGCATCTTTACTTCATTGATAAAGTCAGACATCGTGCTGCATGCCAGGCACTGTTCTAAGTTCTTTGCGAATGTTTACACATTTAAACACCTTTCCATCAGTGCCAATACATCACTATGGCTGCATTTCTCAATGGGTAGGAGGGGAGAAGATATACCCCCTTGTCCCTGGGGTGGGAGCTGGCGACTCAAAACCAATATAGTTTGAGCACAGGAAACCCCCGAAAGACATGTCTCTTTCCTCAAGTGGGTATCAGAGATGATGATGATGATGACGATGAAAAACAAGAGTAAAATCTTAGCTACCATTAATTGAGCTCTTTCCCTACACAGGCACATGCCAGGCGTATTACAAGAATTCTCTCATTTCACCTCCAACAACAACCTTAAGATTTATATAATATTTCATTCCCTTTGCTTTACAGAGGAGAAAACACTGTTCAAAAAGGGTAAGCCAGTTGCCCAGCTGGTGAGAAGAATCAAGATTCCAACCCAGATCTGCCCAATTCCAGTTCTGAGTCTTTCACTGCACATGGCCTAGGGGAGTAGACTGGGGTCACTTGGCGGGAGGTGTGGTGGGTGGAGGTTTATATGAGAAAATGAATTTCTTTGTAATGCAAGAGATCAGTGGGGAGCCAGCAAGTTTTTTGAAACGAAAAGGTAGTAGGGATAATCTAAAAGCCTTATCAATTATACATGCAAAAACAATAGCTCTCATTCATTTAGCTCCTCCTACATGTCAAGCATTCAACTTGGAACTTAGAATAGTTCTAATAAGCAAGTATTTTTGCATTTTCATTTCATGGACATAGAAGTTGAAGTTCAGGGAAGCTGAAAGATTTGTCCAAGGCTCAAGTAAGCAGTTGAACCGGAGTGGCAGACCTGGGCGCCTCCCAGTCCTGCATCCACCCAAGCTTGTCCACTCTGCTCTGGTGGAGAATCAACAACCCCTGTACCCATATTGCACATCTGGCTGTGAATGTATGAGGGCTTCCATGCTCTGAACAGACAAGTTACATATCATATCATGGTCTTTACCAAGATTCAGCCTGAAGCATTAACAGTGAGCAGCTCTGCCCAAGAATGTTCCACAGAGCCTTCATCTCCCAAGATGTTTCCCATGGAAAAAGTTCTATGGTTGGAAGTTTGGATGTGCTGCCTGTTATCTACCCTTCTCCTGCCTAAGAGACTTACAATGCACATCAGCAGATTCTAAAGGTTTTAAGAAGTTCTGAAATTTAAAAAAGTCAACTTCCTTCATTTAGCCTAAGGTTTCCCCAATTTATTTGAACCACAGAATTGTTTTTCTACATGTGCCAGCTAACATACAGTGCCGCACCCTTTCAGAGATACTGCATTATTAGATGAAAGAGGGAGGAAGAGAAGTCTGCTGGAGCTACTTTTTGAAGCTAACTAAAACGCAGACTTTTCTCCCCTTAAGAATTATCAAGCCCTTTGTTGTTTACATTTAGTTGCTTTCTACTGAGAACACAGACAGTTTAAAAAGGCAAGAGACCACAAATCAGAGGAGGGAAGGGCTATTTGCATTCCCAACTCTCTTGGCTCATCCTGTACCTTCTTGCTTCCACCCCAACTCCGCCCCAACCCCATTCTTTCTCCAAGTTTCCACCCCTCCTCCTCTCCTTCGGGCTGCTCTCCAGCTACACACAGCTAGAGGTGGTTGCAACTTGCAATGCACACATCCCCTCCCTCCTGCAATGCAGAAGCAGTGACAGGGAGGCATCAGATGCTCTGCCCAGCGTACAGCCTCAGCTCTGGCACAAGAAGACACTCCTAGGGAAGAGGGGCATTGTGGTGGAGGTGGGGGGAGGATTGACAATTTTTCCTTTAAGATTTTCAGATTACGGGTGCTACGATTTTTCTATTTCTCTTTTTGCTTATTTTCGGCTTGTAATTTCCTACAATGAATATGCAGCACTTGTGTTTTCAGGAGGAGGAAGAACAGAAAGGAGCAAGTAGGGAGGAGACTAGAGGCGGAAGAGAAGGAAATATCATCTCTGGAGGAGACTGCATAAGCTCGACTAACAAAAGATATGAAATTTTACAGCAGTACATCTCCCAACACCTGCAGGTAGAGTTCCTGGCTGCAGTGTTGCTATTTGCAATGACACGTGCCCAGTTACCCCTTAACCAGTGCCAGCTCAGGCATCAGGCACAGAAGCCCTCTCCTTACCCACTCGAAAGATCAAATCGTCTTCGATGGGATTCTCTTTTCGTTTTCCAGTGCTGTACATGCTTGCGGGTCTTTTCACAGCTTTCTGCTTGACGTGGCCGCTCCCTGGGGACTTAACGCGCCTCTTCACGCCTTCGGTGGTGGGAGACACGTCAGCGGATCGGATCACTTTCAGCTTAAACGGGCTGCCTCGGATGTGCTGGTCATAGAGTCTCAGAGACAGGGTAAAGTCCCCTTCCTTCTGGACAGTGTACAAAAACTCATAGGTGCCGTTCTTGTTGTCCAGGATCTCCCCGTCTGCCACGCTCCCGTCCGGGGTGCTCAGTTCGGCGGTGAGGTAGGCGTTGCCGGTTTTGCACAGCTCACCGTCTTTGTCCTTGGTGGTGATGGTGACGGACATGGGCTGCCCGATGATGGTCTGCCGCAGCCCCTCGCCCGTGGCCACCGTCTCTGAGGCGACGGCGTTGGTGGTTAAGATCGTCCCGAGGTTGTGGATGGATTTCTTCAGCCCCTCGGTTTCCACGATGAAATCCAGCTGGTCGTTCTCCCGCGGATGCAAGGGGAAGTCCTGGTCGGCCAGCTCGTTCAGCTTCTCGCTCATCTGCTTCTTCACCAGCAGGACCTCGGTCTCCGTGCCATGGTTGAGGGCCTGCGCTGTGAAGTTGCTGCAGCTCTTAATGCTCTCCTGCCCCTGGAGCAGAGTATCCAGCTGCGACTGGAGGACCTGCGGGAAAACCGGAGGCCTGGTGAGCTGTCCCACAGGGCAAGGCCCAGCCCGGGGCAGTGCCCTCCCCCGGCGAGGAGGAGGCTCTACACCTGCCCACGCAGGTGGCTCTGAGCAATTGGTGTTTGTCAACCCAGGGAACCCAGTGCTAATGCAAAGTCCTAAATTGTATTCCCAGTACCTTCTCGAGGTTTCCCTTCCGCCTTGCCCTCTCTTCCACACATGTATTTCTTGGCTCATGTGTTTTGGAGAGGGGAAAACAGAAAGGTCACTACCAAGAACACAGCAAACTAATTGCTATGCCTGACATCTGAAATATTCATTATTCGGTATCTTTCCCCAGTGTCCAAAGCTGCCCCATCACCACCTAAAGGAACAGGAAGGAAACAAATGAAAACTCTCCACACCTGAACATCAGAAGTTTTTCATCCCTGTTTTGTGAACAGATATGCAGAGTTAAACAAAGGCTGCAGTCAGGGTTCATTTTGAAGCTGACTAACAGGTTGGTGTGGGTGAGAGAGCAATTAAGAAACTATTTCACGTTATAACTGAGGAATGAAAACAATCCAGTTTAACTCTAAATCCTGAAAGCATTATATTATATTCAACCGTGCCTCTTGTCAAATTATAAACTAGTACTTAAAGTCACAGAGTCATCAAATTTTGCTGAAAATAGGGAAAAAAAATAGCTGGATATTACATTCAGTGAAAACTATAGTTTACTATACAATGATGACACTTAAGGACCCCTTGTTGCTATTAGGAAACAATAAGCTAGTGCCCTTGGATATCATGTCTCTTCTAGGACATCTGTAATGATTCTGGTCTTACTTTGTGTTTGAGGCCATAGTTGACCTCCAGTTCCATAAGCAGCACACTCTTGCGCACATTTAAAGTCTTCTGGAGCTCATCAAAGGTGGAATGAATGTCATCCACAATGCTGGCCTTCTGGTTGGTTAACTGATGAATGATTTCCGAGATGAACTGAAGAGCAGAATCTATTTCTGGGAGCCTGGTGGACAGTCGTTAAAGGTCGTTATTTAACCTCAACCCAGAAATAGTCCAAAATCTATCTAAACACTACATTTTTGTTTAAAAAACTTTCTATGCTTTCATCATCTTTAAAAAACAATAACCAGAGAACAGAATAAGATGACATAATTACTGCCTCAGAGAGAAGAGACTTTGTCTCTTTAGAGACAATCAAAATTGTCAATTTCAATCTACCATCAATTGTCCAATTTTGATAATTAATTAAGGGTATAAAGACTTGAAGTTCTCTGAAAAGCCATTCTGGCCAGATTAATTCTTTGTTGCAGGGGCCGTCTGGTGCATTGTAGGATGTTTAACAGCATCCTGTCCTCTACCAGATGCCAATAGCTCTCCCTGCCCTGCCTCCCATTCCCCAACCCCCTGCCAAAACACACAGTTGTGACACGAAAAATTCTCCAGGCATTGCTGAATGGCTGAGAACCACTATTCTAGGTAGTTGTATCTTTTCCCCTAGCCACATAAAACACTTATCCATACTCAGTTTCTTGAGAACTTCTCGTAAGTTTCCAAGTTCTTTGAATTACTATAGAACAACCACACTTTTCTCACTGCAGCTATCAGTAGAGAGATTTATTTTGTCTGTTTTTCTGCTGGTTTCTCATTTCCTCTCTTTGGTCTTTCTCATGCACCACTCAGCTACTCTGTTCCTTCATTTCTGTGCCAAAGAAGGAACTTGGAAGCAGGAAAACAAGGAAAATTAGCAATCATTGCTCAAGACCATTTTGCAGAGCTCAGATAGAAAGGAGCCAATCACAGCCAACAAAATGGCCTGTATGTGTGAGCCTGGTTTCAGGGATGAATTTCAGAACTCTCCTGAGAGCACGTTCTTTGAGTGTACTTTAATTCATGTAATCATACTCAGGCACTAAAACAAAAATGCCACTCATAACATAAGGAGGTTGGAGTTCTACCAACAGGCAGAAGACAACCATCCACACTCATTAGTTTATGACAACAAATCCATGATAAAAGAACTTATTTACCCACAAAGCCTGATATCTCAAGGGAAATATGAACCTACTGCTGTACTTAGACAAGAGGCCATGAGGCCAGGCCCCAAGTACAGGCAGCCAGTTGGGAGTTTGGGGAGGGGTCCCCCACCTTTTGTTGACAGCATCCAACTGGACCTGGAGCGAGGCCTTGTGCTGTTCCACCACATCCTTGAGCGGAACTGTGGGGTGCTCTGCGTGCTCCCCCTCCGTGCACTCCCGACACATGGCAGTCTCACAGGACTGGCAGTAAAATTCCATCACCTGTGGATGACACAAGAAAAGTTCCTGGTTCTGGGCCACGGGTTGAGGGCTTACTCTACACTAAGCACTTGCCTTGCAGTCTCTCATAATTAAATGAGAGCCACCCCAGAATGTCAGCATTATTAAGTGCAGCTTCACAGGAGAAAAGGAAGGATACATTTTTATGTGACAGGTCTCAGAAGTGGAGCTGACTTCTAAGCTCCTTCTATAACCATAAAACCAGCTTTTGGGTATCCACTCCCCTAAGGCAGAACAGTATAGGGCTGTGGCGCTCAAACATTTTGATCTCAGGACCCCATTATAATCTTTAAAAATTATTGAGGACTCCAAAAGAGCTTTTGTGTATGTAGGTTCTATTTATAGATATTTCTTATATTAAAAATTGAAACTAGGCTGGGTGCAGTGGCTTATGCCTATAATCCCAGCACTTTGGGAGGCTAAGGCTGGAGGATTACTTGAGGCCAGGAGTTTGAGACCAGCCTGGGAAACACAGCAAGACTCTGTCTCTACAAAAAATTTAAAAATTAGTATTTAATCAAATTTTAAAAAATTAGAACTGATAAAAATTTTAAAGTATTTAATTTATTAAAAGCAGTAATAAGTCCATTAAATGTTAATGTGAATAATGTAATTTATGAAAATAAATATATTGTGAAAAACAAAAAAATGTTGTGGGAAGAATGGCATTGTTTTCCATTTTTGTAAATATCTGCAGCGTCTGGCTTAACAGAAGATAGCTGGAGATTTGTATCCGCTTCTGCATTGAGTTCGTTGTGATAGCATACATCACATAGCCTGTGGAAAATTCCACTGTACAGTCTCGAGAGAATGAGAGTGAAAAAAGCAAATCATGTCTTCATATGATTATGAATATAGCATTGACCTTGAAGACTGCTTGAAAACGTCTTGGGACCCACAAGCGTTCCTGTACTACACTTTGAGAACTGCTACTATTTGGCTAAGAGACTTATCCAAATAAGAATTCAGGTTTGATCTGTTTGCCTCCTGGCTTCACCACTTATTTAGCTGAATGACCCGAATGAATTTTCAGCCTCACTGTGTCTCAATTTCTGCCTCTGTCAAATGGAGACAATAATAGTAACTACTTCACAGGGCTACTATGAAGAATAAGTAGGTTAGTATGCACGAAGAATTCAGATGGCACCTGGCTTTGGTACATCATAAGTTCTTAATATGTTGTAGCTGCTGTGGGGATGATGATGATGATGATGACATTATCTGCTTACCTGAAAATAAAAAAATCTTACCCTGACAATGATGAACTGTCAGTAAAAATATAATATAAAGCCAGAAAGTTAGCTTCCTTGTAGAGGTATTACCCTGTTTTCTCAACTGGAAATAATGTCTTCCAGTTTTCAATTCCCAAAGCACTTTCAGGAGAAACTTTTTCTTGACGTATAACACAACATAGAAAAGGGCATAAATCTTAATGCAGCTTGATGGATTTTCACAAAGTGAAGGCAGTCACCAAATTCCTTTTATTTATACCCAATTTATGAAATATAAGATTTTAAATTCCTAAGCCCAGGAACTCTCCCACCCAGAGCCTAGATAATACCATACATTTAGTAGGTATTCAATAACACTGCTGAATGAGTGAATGAGAGGAGGCTCTTAGCCATGATTCGGGTGGCATTTGTAAGACCAACCAAGGGGCACCTCCTTCCTCATTAAGACTCACTATGTTCCATAGTGCTTTCTGGAGAAGATTCTCCTAGGAATAAAGCACTCGGCTTGCTCATACTACATGTGTTTTGGAAAAAATCTTTTCTAGTGAACCAAATTCAGATAAAAGTCCTTCAAACCATGTCCAAGATAATTTTAAATTTCATATTTATCACAGTTTCAAGTAGGTACATAGTAAGAGGTTTAGAAAGACACTTTTGTTTTGTCACATAAAGATGTAATTTCATGTACTTTGCTCCTCTGCAGGCCTTTTAGGAATAGGCTTGAAACATCAATTGGAAGTTTCTTTTATGCATTCTCTGCTCAAAGTTTCTTTTATGCATTTCTCAGCTGGGTGCCATGGCTCACACCTGTAATCCCAGCACTTTGGAAGGCCAAGGTGGGAGGATCACTTGAGGCCAGGAGTTCAAGACCAGCCGGGGCACCACAGCAAAGCTCTGTCTCTACAAAAAAAATTTTAAAAATTAACTGGACGTGGTGGCACATGCCTGTAGTCCTAGCTACTTGGGAGGCTGAGGTGGGAGGATTGTTCGAGCTTGGGAGTTCGAGGTTGCAGTGAGCTATGATTGTGCCACTGTACTCCAACCTGGGTAAAGGAGGGAGACCCTATTTCAAAAAGGAAAAAAGTATTTACACTTCTCATTAAAATATGTTTTAATAAACAAACTCAAATGAAAATTCAAATATCCCACAGAAAGACTATAATACTGGTCATTTGCACCTTATTTTGGTCCAAGTCTGATACAATCCAGCAGAAAGCACAGCTTATAGAAGCTGTTCAATAATTATTTGCTGAGGGACCATATGAGCTAAGGGGTACTTCCAAGGGATTTCCCCAGTGAGGGAAGACTATACTTTGGGTTGCATTTGGATATTTTACCATATTGCTTGCCTTCATGTGTTCAGGAAACAGAATGATCTAAAACTATATGCAGTGTCAGCAAATGCTTGGTAACAATATATAAGCCCCATATCATAAATATTTTACTTGTTATTAGAAAAAAACTCTTAATCCAAGAGGTTTCCTGTTTTTCTGGCAGAGGTTTTCTGTTCCCTCCCGGCAGAAGGCAGGATAATTGAGCATTCCCCACTAAATTCTGAGATTTCCTTTGGAAAAATTTCATCCCCTGGGGTTTGTGAAACATAATTCCGATGAAGGCTGAGCTTTTTTATTACTTCACGGCTTCAGCCAAAGGTGGTTTACTTTTACCAGACATTTTATTTCTAGATTATGTACAACTAGATTAGCATTTACTAATATTTCATCTTCATGGTCAGTGCTCAGGAGGTCTCTTTAAAGCAGGTTGTCATTGCCAGTCATATGTACCAGAGGACAGACCAAAAATAGAATGTGAAAAGACTTCTTCCCTCAGGTTATTTAGGGTGTTGGGGCGAATATAAGTATATGAACTGAGGGAACAGGCCACATTAACAGTGCTTAGTCAATCCAATGGCACTCTTCCCAAACTAATCTAGTCTGGGACTGAGTTCCCACATCTTCACTGGAAGAAGGGAGCATGGCCTCATGTCTGGAATGGGTCTGGACCAAAGGCAAATTTTACTTGGGAATCAGTGTGCACATTGCATTTAGAAGTTGCAAATACTATACGATATTTTTTGCATTTTGTGGTCTGAGTTGAAGTTCCCCAGCAGTGTAAGAAGCGAGATGACAAAGAATACTCGTTGGAAGAGAGAAAAGGATACAAAATAATATAGAGTCACTAAAAATGTAAAAATCCTCAAGATCAGAGTTCATCATGTATGACCAAAGATCAGCATCCATTACTATTATTTTCCTTCTTTTTAATTCATATTTTTAAATGATTGCAGGGAAGTGATGTTACTGAAAACAGCAGCATAAGAAAATCTGTGTCATGTCACTGGTTGGTAGCTAATCTACTGGAACACACTTCATTAGCCACATATGACAAAAAATACAAACTTTACAAAATTAGTTCCATTAGATAATAAAAATGGGGAATGAAAAAATATAAAATAATTAGTTTAGAAAAGTCACCAAATAACAACAGCAAAAAACTGTAATAACCATCAACAAAAAACCCTAGGGAGAGGGGAGACTCTGATTCCCAGAGTCGCCACAATATACTACTTTAAATGTTCAGTTTCCATTGGAAAAAAGTGAAGTACACAAAAAAGGGCAAAGTTCACAAAGAGGAATAAAAGAAATTAATAGGCACTCTCCCTTAAGAAGCCCAGACTGGACTTACTTGACTTTAACTCTTTCATATATGCTCACAGAGCTAATGGAAACCATATATAAAGAACTATAAGAACAATGTCCCACTAAATGGAGGATATTAATAGATAGGAATTACTTTTTTAAAAGCCAAATAGAAATATTGTAGGGTTAAAAAATATAACTGCAATGAAAAATTCACTAGAAAAGTTCCACAGAAAATTCAAGCAGGAAGAAGAAGTTTAACTTGAAGATAGGGCTATTGAGATTATACAGTCTGTGAAGCCAAAAAAAAAAAAAAAAAATGGGGGGAAAGAAACAGTAACAAAACCTAAGAGACCCGTGGGACACCATCAAGTGTACCAAATATACCTAATGAGAGTCCCAGAGGAGAGGAAGAGAGGAAGGGAAAGAAACAATATTTGCAAAAGTAATGGCTGGAAACTTCCCAAATTTGATAAAAGACACAAATCTACACATCCAAAAAAAACTTAATAAAATCCAAACAGGAAAACTCAAAGAGATCCAAACCAAGAAACAGTATAACCAAAACATAAAAAGACAAAAACAAAGAGAGAATTTTGAAAGCAGCAAGGCAGAGGTGACTCATTTTATACAAGAAATACTCCATAAGCAGATTTTTTTTCTTTTTTCTGAGATGAGTCTCACTCTGTCACCCAGGCTGGAGTGCGGTGGCTCAATCTCGGTTCACTGCAACCTCTGGCTCCAGAGTTCAAGTGATTCTCCTGTCTCAGCCTCCTGAGTAGCTGGGATTACAGGTGTGCGCTACCATCCCCGGCTAATTTTTGTGTTTTTAGTAGAGACGAGATTTCACCATGTTGGCCAGGCTGGTCTCAAACTCCTGATCTCAGGTGATCTGCCTGCCTCAGCCTCCCAAAGTGCTGGGATTACAGGCGTGAGCCACCACACCCGGCTGCAGATTATTTAAAAGCAGATTTCTCATCAGAAACTATAGAGGCCAGAAATCAATGGGGCAACATATTCAAACTGCTGAAAAAAAATAAGCCTGACAACCAATACTTTTTTATCTGGCAAAACTATCCTTTAAACATGAAGGAAAAATTAACACATTACC